TCAGGAGCAAAATTCTTACTAACAGTAGTTAGTAAATAAATGCTTTAAAAGGCAAAAGAAGTAAAGAGAGTTGAAAGCTTTTGTGCTACAGGCTGCTGGCCCAGGACAAAATGGTGCCATTACCCTGTTCCCATTCTTTAAAGTGTCATCCCTCCACCTGCACTGAGTTAGGAGTAGATATGGTGTCTGTCCAATTCCACCAGCAAGAGTGGTGGAACATGGCCAAAAAATCATAGGCCCTGTGTCCAAAGTTTGGATAGCCTCTCACGTCCTATTTGTATCATGCAGAGAGATGCCAAAGCCGCCCATCTGTGTTCCATTTCTCCCAGGAGAGATCCCGGACCTCTACTCTGATGATGAAGTTGAAAACATCATAAACAATGTGAGGAACGAAGTCAAGAGCCAAGGTCTTGTTGACAACAGAGAGAACTGTTGGAAGTTTTTTGTAAATCGGGTCCGACGACAACTGAAGGTATAGAAGGATTTACTGCCCAGGGTAGGCGGACCAGAGATGGTTCATAAGAGCCTCTGCTGATATTTTGGACACGGCTGCCCTCATTGATTACACTGGCAGTGGGCTGGGAAGGTGGATTGCCTTTCTTCACCTGAGCAATTTTGCAAGGCTGCCCTTCTCATCTGCTTCAAGGGCAGTAGCCTCCCTCCTGCCTCATGCAGTCCCAGCATTCTTAATTTGTTGGCTAGAAGCCTGGCTAGTGTTGACAGATTTTTTTTCTTCCTCTGTTGAATGTGTTTCCCAACTTTCTGGGAAATGAAGAACCCAAAGCCATAACTGTCTCTCTGTGAGTATCTCCCTGACACTTTCTTGGTTCTCCCCACCCTTCTAATTTCTCAGGTGACTCTCTGTTTTTCCCCTGTGGGAGACAAGCTGAGAGTCCGCAGCAGGAAGTTCCCAGCCATTGTGAACTGCACGGCCATCGACTGGTTCCACGAGTGGCCTCGGCAGGCATTGGAGTCCATCAGCCTCCGCTTCTTACAGAACACAGAAGGCATTGAGGTGAGAGAGCAAAGGAGACACTCTTCAAGGTCCTCTCTACCTCAGGTACAAGGAATTCCATGTCCAGAGTTTCAGGGTTCAAGTTCAGGCCTGGGTAGAGTTGTTGGAGCAAAACTTTCCATGTGTTGAGGCCATGAGTGGGGTGGGCTGTCACCTCCAGTCTTCATGTCCAGACAGTTGCTTTGTTTCCCACTCTTTGATTTCAGCCCACAGTCAAGCAGTCGATTAGCAAGTTCATGGCGTTTGTCCACACAAGTGTCAACCAGATGTCTCAGTCTTATCTGAGCAATGAGCAGCGCTACAACTACACAACTCCCAAATCATTCCTGGAGTTCATCAGACTCTACCAGAGCTTGCTGCGCAGAAATGGAGAAGAGCTCAAGTCCAAAATGGAGCGTCTCGAGAATGGGCTGCTGAAGCTTCACAGCACCTCTGCGCAGGTGGGTGATGGTCTCTTGTGGCTCCTGCCTTCAGAGCACTGAGAGGGAGTGGGCACGCTCCATTCCAGGGAACTGGATGGATCACAGTCCAGGCCTGAGAATCATGTATGGTTTTCCGGAGGCCTCGGTGTCACCAGAAACTGTTCCAAGAGTTAAGGCTGAGCTCTCCCTGAGGAGGGTCCCACTGTCAGCCGCAGGTCTGGGCTGCTCCCAGGTCCTAATGATGGAATCCTCTGGAGCACCTCTTCTTTCGTGCTTGTTACCCCTCTCCTCCTCTTCTGCTACCTTCCTTTCCTCTCCCGTCGGCTTCCCTTCCATCTTCAGAACCAAAGAGAGGAATCTATACCAGTTTTTCTTTTATTTCTTTGTATTGTCTGTCAAAGCATCATCGGAACCTGATTTCTTAAATCCTGTCTCATTTCTTGCATTTTCTTCATATATTCCCAAGTGGTCGGCCATTGAAAGAAAGTCCCTGTTGTCCTATCCTTGTAATATTTTTCTACTTACTCTTCCAAAGGGAACATGTCCATCAGACATTGCTGATCCCTTGGATGGCCCCCTCCTGTGCTCTGTTTGCCCACAGCAGAGTCATCTGGTGGGTGTGGTTTTCCTGCATGTGCAGCATTAAACTCAAATTGTGATCAACTTTAGTTCTTGGGCATCCCGTGTTCCCGTAGATATCCAAGCCTTTTGCTTTGTCATCATGACAGAGCTGTGCCTTTGGCGTAACTGTTGAATTCACTTCTTCTGACTTGTCCTCTCTCCCCACTTTAGTTTCTTGAATCGTGGATGCAATATGTCTAGAGGACTTCAGCTCATTTATTGGGATGCAGTGAGCCCTTGCAATCTGTTCACATAGAATTTCTTCTGCTTGGGCCATTTTCTGTTATCTGGTTTTGTTCATCTGGTTTGGCCTCTCCTCCAGGAGCAATGATTTGCCAGTGGCTTCTCTGTGCCCTGTATCTATTATGTCCTCACTCCCTGATCTCATCCTTTTGGCTTTTTTTCCCCTCTACATTCTAGGAGAGCTTTTCAAGTTTATCCTCAACAATTGTAATCTAATAGTGGGTAACATTGCTTCTGCCTCTTAGGTTTCCAGTGAAGACTCTAATTATGCTATTACATTTTTAATGTCCTAACCGCCCTTCCTCACCTAATCCTTTTCTCCTTCCAACACATCCTATTGCTTTTTTAATTTCAGCCTGTTTGCCTGCAACCGTGTCATTGACACCATCCTACCGATGACAGTGGACAGCTTCCTTGATGTTTTTTCCAGATCCGATAGTGTGCCGTTTTCAGACCTGTGTCCTTCTTCTTAAGTCTCCTAGATTCTTTTCCCTTCCTTGTTCTGTATTTCTACAAAGACCCTTTTTTTCTTTTTCTTTATTTACCCACTGGCATGGTGAGATCTGTTCAAATTCGGTGTTTGTCCACATGTGACATGTGACAGTTGTCCATGACACTACTCTGTGTCCATTTGTGCTCTGACAACAGCCCTTCCCAGAGCTACAGTTCAGGCCAGATCGAGGGACTCAGATACTAGCCAAAGCGCTAGCTGTTTACCTGGCATGTACCTTTGTTGTAGAAAGGTAGCATCTTCTCTCCCAGCACTTTTCAGTACTCTCAATCTCTGAACTTCTAGAAAACAGCATGAGATAGAATCCCAGAACGCAGTCCTATCAGATTGTTTTTAACATCGGTCGCTTTTTCCTCTTCCTGTCTCCCCCCACCCCACCTACAGTACCCTCAGAATACTGTCCCCCCAGCAGCACCTGTTCTCCCTCCGCTCACCTATCCTCTGGAAATTATCGATCATCCCAGGAGAAGACTGGTTATACCTTAGGTGAACCCAGCTCTGCCTGCACATGGTTAGTGGAGAAGCCTCCCCAGTCCTGGCATCAGTTTTGGTTCCTTCTCCTTCAAAATTCTCTACGTCAACAAGTCATGCTTTCATCTACCCGTTATCTAGAAACCAGGGAGTTAACTTAGATTCCTCCCCTTGTCTCAGTTAAGAATTAACAAATTCTCTACTTTTTTATGTATCTCTTAAATATACCCCTCTTGCTGTCTCCCTGTTTTCAACACCTTGATTTAGGTGTTTAGGTAACATGTATTACCTTGATTATTTCAACACATTGAACTCCACAAGTCCCCCCCACCCCCATCCTGAACCTGGGTCGCCAATAACTTCTTGCATCACCCATCAGGCCAAGTACTTGGGGTTGTCCCTGACTCTTCTCATTTCTCTCTCTCTTGTGCCCAAACATCAGAAAATCGCTGTTGGCTCTAACTTCAGATATGCCCAGGATCCCACCACTGCGCACCTCCTATGCTGCCACTCCCCTGATCTGGGTCACTGGCGTCTTTAACCCGGGCAACCAGGGTACCTTTCTGGCTCATTTGTCTGCTTCTCCTTTTGCCCCTTTTTGGTCCATCATCAACAGAGTAGCCAGAATGATCCATTCAAAGCATAAGTCAGAGCATGTCACTTTTCTGCCCCAAACCCTGAGATGGCTTCCATTTCCCTCATTAAAATGGCGCCCCAGGCTCCTCTCCCACTGCGCCCTGCAGACTCTCAGACCTCATCTCCTGCTACCCCACGCCCACAATATTCCTCTCTCTCTGGCCATGCCGCTGCTTTGCTGTCTCCTCAGACAACACCAGGCCTTTGCACTGGATGTTCTTCCCTCTCTCATCCCATGGCTCACTCCTTCATCTCCTCCTCTTTGCTCAAATGTCACCTTCTCATTGAATCCTACTCTGATGCCCCTGTTTTCAGTTGCAACCCCACACCACCCCTGCATCCCTTACTCTGCTCTACTTTATCTTTTTCCCATAGCATTTACCCCCATCCAACATGTAATATACTTGTTACCTTTCTTTTTTGGTGTCTGTTTCTTTTTTTTTTTTCAATAATTTTTTATTGTTATGTTCATCACCATACATTACATCATTAGTTTGTGATGGAGTGTTCCATGATTCATTGTTTGTGCATAGCACCCAGTGCCCCACGCAGAACGTGCCCTCTTTAATACCCATCACCAGGCTAACCCATCCCCCCACCCCCTCCCCTCTAGAACCCTGTTTGTTTTTCAGAGTCCATCGTCTCTCATGGTTCGTCTCCCCCCTCCGACTTACTCCCCTTCATTCTTCCCCTCCTGCTATCTTCTTCTTTTTTTTTTTCTTAGCATATATTGCATTATTTCTTCCAGAAGTACAGATCCGTGATTCATCAGTTGGTGTCTGTTTCCATCTGTTAGATACAACCCCCGTAAAGACCAAGATCCTTATCTCTTTGGTTCAATAATGTGTCTAAAACAGCACTTGGACAGAGTGGGCACTCATTACATATTTGTTGAATGAATGAATGAATGAATGAGTGAATGCATAGCATTCTGCTTAGTATCCCCCACTGTATTCTGGAAGTACTATCCAATAGAAATATCCTGCCAGTCATATATGCAAATTAAATTTTCTGGTAGCTGTATCAAAAGAAGTAAAAGGAAATAAGTGAATTTTATTCTAACCATATATTTTAATTTTACATAATTATATATTTTAAGAATACATTTTATTTAACCCGACACATCCAAAATCTTATTTTAATAGGTAATCAATGTATAAAAATGTTATCAATGAAGTATTTTTTTTTCTTCAAGTCTTTAGAAACTAGCGTATGTGGTTATATTTACAGCACATCTCCGGTGGGACAAGCCACATTTTAGGTGCTCATTCACTACATGGGGCTGGTGGCTACCAAACCAGACAACACAGCTCTGCCCTAGCCTCTGTCCTGCTATTGGAGGATCTTTGCTCAAACCATAAGCTTGAGTCTTCTCTTCTGTGGACTTTAGTGTTTTAGATACTACATTGCAGATTCTCTGAACTTTTCTAGAACTTTCAAACTGTATCCTTGCCCGTGTGCCACCCTTTCTTCCTCCCATCTACCCCCTTGCAACCCTGGCATCCAGTACTTCCAACTGGCTATAGTTGCCCCAAATCTCCACAGCTAGTTTACGTCTCCGTGTCTTTACGTGCACCCCCACCCCTTGTCAGCTTGTCACTGTCGGCGCCTACACAGTTTGCTAGCCCCTGCTCCCAGAGGCCCTTTTTAAGCTCTGAGCAGGTGTGCCTTCCAATCTTTGTGGTTCCATCCCGGAACTGTGTTTCTCCTCTTGTGTATTTCATGCTATACCATCAGCAGTCATATAAGTGCAGAAACCAGGATTCATTGGCACATAGTAAGTGTTCTGTAATTGTGTAGATAAAGGGACATTATGGGTAGATGACAGATGGCCAGGCAATCAACCAAATGAACACGTTCTAAAGTCACCTATCACCTCAGAGTGGGGGTGGAGGACAGGTCCCCCAATACTATGTACCTGGTGTGTATTTCATACTAATGGATGGTTATGAGGATGATTCTTCTTGTAAAAATGGTATCAACTTGGCTTCCTAACTCTGTTAAAAACCCTTCATCTGAAATTGTTCCTTGGGTAGAAAAAGCCCTAAGTGTATCATCATAATCTTGCTATAAGGGTAATGATTTGAGTTATGTGGTATCACTCTCCTACTACCCAATTAGGACAGTTTTGGGGATTCATAATCTAGTGGGAGTGGGCTAAGTGAATGTCACAACTCTGGCTCAGAGGGACTCCAAATTTCTTTAGCAACAATAGCAGTATTAGGAGTAATAATTATACTGGTAAGAGTGATAATAATTGATAATTATATAATCATCTAAAGTTGATAAATTTTAAACATAATTTCATGCTTAGCCTCAAGTGGTCATAAAGGTAACTTTATTTTTCTATAACTGAATTTAACTTAGCTACAGATCCACCTTTTTCATTTAAGAGTAGAAAGTTCTTTTTTTTAATAAAGATTATTTGAGAGAAAGAGAGTGCATGAGTGGGGGTGAGGGGCAGAGAGAGAGGGGAAGCAGACTCCCCAGTGAGCATGGAGCCCAACACAGAGCTCAGTCCCATGACCCTGAGATC